TATAAAAGAAAATCTTATTTATTCTCTTAGATCTTAGGAATTATAAGATTATTTTAGAATAAACTTAGATAGCTTACTTTAACGTTTAGTTAAATATTAAGAACTATTATCTTATTTAGCTATATAATAAGGATATCCTTATAGTTTTCTCTTATTTAATTTAGCTTTTATAAGATACCTTATAACTATTAGACTTATCGTAGATATAAGTAACTAATTAATAAGATATATTCTAATAATAAGTAGCTATAAATACAGAGAATACTAAGAGACTCTCTTTTCACTAAGTAATAGTCTAAGCTATAGAGGACATAGAAGAATCTGCCTTTATAAATATATTATCTGCTAAACCTTAGTACTTCTCCTTTTCTTCTTAAAAGTACTATATAATAAAGCGAGAAGCTTAGAAGAAATACTATTAGTTAGAAAAAGAATAGAACTAATAATACTAGGAAAATTAAAACACTATCTAAGAGCTTTTTACTTTAACTTATAATAGCTAAGTATAAGATTTAATTAAGTAGATAAAAAAGAAGCTATATAACTTTACTTTATATAAATCTCTTATAGTAGTTTTAAAGAATATAATATTATTTTATTAGTACTTTATAAAAAAAGAAAAGACTCTTTTAAAGATAGATATTATTAATATTAATACTATTATATTCTACTATATCTTATAGCTTCTTAGATTAGAGTTCTTTATAGTAATACTAAATAAAATTAATAAGTTAATTAACTAAGTAGCTTAGAAAGCTAAGTTATAAAGCTCTTTTAAACTTAAGGAATTATATAAAGATATCTTAAAGAAAAAGCTCTTTTACTAATATAAAAAGTTTATTAGTATTTTCTTAAAAATAACTATTAACTCTTTACTAGATCTTATTCTTAATCTAGATTATAAGAATAAATTAAAAAAAGATATTAATTATAAATATAAACTTTTATATTAGTAGAGTAAAGCGAAGCTTTAAGTAATAAAGCAATACTTAAAGAAGAACTTAGATAAGAGTTTTATTATCTTAAGTTATACTCTATTCACTTACTTAACTCTTTTTATAAAGAAACTTAATAAGAGCTTATAATTTTATATTAACTACTAAAAGCTAAATAAGATTACTTAAAAGAATAAGTACCTTGTATCTCTTATTAATAAAGTATTTACTTAGCTAAGTTAAGCTAAGATTTTTACTAAGATTAATATCTAAAGTATATTCTATTAGATTTATATAGATCTTACCTCTAAGGAATATACTATGTTTTATACTTAGTATAAGAGTTATAAGTATAAAGTAATACTATTTAGTCTAATAAATAACTTAGCTATATTCTAATAGTATATAAATAATATACTCTTTAATTACTTAAATAATTTCTATATTATATACTTATATACTATTATTATTTACTTTAATAATCTTTTAAAGTATAAGAAATATATTAAAAAAGTTCTATAATACTTATAGTAATATAGACTCTTTATTAATATTTAGAAAAGCGAGTTTTATATTAAAAAGATTAAGTTCCTTAGCTTTTATATTATTACTAAAAGTATTAAGATTAACTTTAAAGTAATAATATATATAAATAACTAAGAATCTCTTATAATAATCTGAAGTATTTAATTATTCTTAAAGTTTTATAACTTCTACTAGAAATTTATTCTTAATTATAATAAAGTTACTAAATTACTAGTAGAACTTACTAGAGCCTTAGTCTTATTTAAGATAATACTTACTTAGCTAGTTATATTCTAAGCTTTAAAAGAAGCTATTTTATCTTTTACTTATCTTAAGTATTATAATATATTATATAAAATATAAATTAAGATTAATACCTTTAATAAAGTAATCTTAAGAGTATTATTATAAAAGTATAATAATAATTAATATCTAGTTAAATTCTTATCTAAGATTATAAATCTTACTAAACTTAACTATAATATCTATAATAAGGAAATACTAGCTATTATATACTCTCTTACTTATTAGAAAGTAAAGCTAGTATTATAAATAAGATATTAATAGTTCTAAGTTTTCTTAGATTATAAAGTACTAGAATACTTTATAACTATTCAGAAGCTTATAAGATAATAAGCTTATTAGTTAGAGATCTTAGTAAACTTCTACTTTACTATTATATATTATCTTAAGAATTAGAATATAATAGTAAATATACTATTATATAAAGAATAAGATATTAATAGATGAATTAAGATAAAAGATAAGTTATATACTTAGACTTTAATTTACTTAAGCTAGCTAAACTTATATATCTTAAAGGAGCTAGAAAAGCTTCTAAATATATATTACTTAGCTCTAGTTAAGTTCGAACTAAATAATAAAACTAATCTAGTTATAAAGCTTATTTATATCAATTAAACTTATAATAATCTAATAGTTTAATAAGAAGAATTAAAGGAACTTAACTTATAGTATACTCTCTAAGAAGATAGCTTACTATTATTTAAAAGTCGATTATAAGTCTTAAATATAAATAATTTATATATATAACTTATTTAGTATATTTATAACTAAGTCTTTATAGTTTATCTTAAGAAGTCTAAGATATTTAGCTTACTTTATATTAAATACTATTAGCTAAGTATACTTAAAGATATAGCTAGGTTTATATTAAACTACTTAGCTTATAATTATATAAACTACTATTAAGATATAATACTAAAGTACTTTTACTTTTTATTAATCCTTAATCGCTTATAATAATACTTAATTATAGACTTTAAGAGTATACTAAAGAATAAGTTTAAGTATAATTTAATACTTATTATAATAGACTATTTCTCTAAAGAAGTAATATTAATCTTTTATTTCTCTATATATATAACTTATAACTTAGTATAATTATTTATTTTTAATTACTAGAAGTTTAATAAACCTTTAGAAATAATAATATTAATTAAAAGCTTATAATTTATCTTCTTCTTTTAGAATAAGTTTTATTATATCTTTAGTATTAAAGTTAAACTCTTTACTACTTATTATACTTAAATAGATAATTAGATAGATATTATAAACTAGTACTTAGACTAACACTTTTAGATTTTTATTAATTACTATTAGAATAACTAGTCTAAGCTATTACTAGTAATAGATTATACTTAGCTAATTTTACTGTATAAGTCTCTAAGAATATCTTTATACTAATTAAAATATAAGTATAAGCTAAAGATAAGTTAGGATTAGAATAAGCTTTAGCTAAAAGTTAAGTAAATAGTTACTAAGAAGCTAAGTATTACTAATATATAAGTATTTACTTATTACTATAAATAAGTTTAAAGAAAAGCTTAAGAGTTCCTTTATAATTAATAAGAGAAGAAGTAATAAGATATAAATAAGTTATACTAAGAAGTTAACTAAGAGGTAAGCGATTTAGTATAAGTAACTATAAGGAATTAAAAAATATACTACTTAAAGAAGAAATTAAATAATTAATAAGTAAGCTTATTAAGAAAAAAGGTTACTTATTCTATTTAGATCTCTTAGCTTTAGTTAAAGTTTACTTTATTTTCTTTATAAATAAACTTTAATAATATAATAATAACTTACTCCTTAGATAAATACTCTAAGAATAAGAATTTATCTAAGTAGATATTAAATAAGAATAAGAAGTCTAAGATATCTTAAAAGTTTATTTTAAGTAAGATAAGATCTTATAATATTAAGCTAAATAAAAAAGTTTAATTTTAATTCTAAATTCTACTTTACTACTAAAAACTTTATAACTTATTTATATAAGCTTTAGAACTTCTATTAAGTATACTTTATAAAACTAAGACTACTTAAGCTACTTCTTAAATAGCTAACTATATAAAAAGTAGAAGATAATAGTATATATAATGACTAGTAGATAATACTATAATATCTAAAGTAAACTATAAGAAATTTTTTTATAGCTTAAAGATAAGCTTTCTTTAAAAGAAAAGGTAATATAATAGATTAATTATAATAAGCGAGTTATATAAGTAAGGCTGATATTATAAGGCTATAAGGCTAAAGTTATATAATAAACCTAAGATTAGCTTAGTTTACTACTAGCTACTTATATCTCCTTTACTTATTCTTAAGGCTTCTTAGGAACCTCTTCCTTTTATTATTTTTTCTACTTTATATTATAACTATTAATAAATACTTATTATACTATTATATTTAGATAATTTACTATTATTAGAATTATAATTATCCTTTAAGTTAAAAACTTATTATTAAAAGCTAAATAGCTTTATCTTTTTTAACTTAATAGTAAGATTAGTAAGTATCTTTATTATTTTTTAAAAGTTCTTATCTTATTTATTTTAATATTTAATAAGCTTTTTAATTTCCTTCTTACTTTTAAAGGTCTTAATTACTAGTATAAAAGTAAGGCATTTTTTAGAAGTAACCTTATTAGTTTTAAAAGTTCTTATTAGTAGAAGATATAGTATTATTATTAAAAGTTAAGAGAATTATATTATTTCTCTCTCTTATATTATATTTATAAAGTATAATATAAGTAAAAAAGGTTTAAAAGAGGTTATAAAAGTAAGTTTTTTTCTTTTAGTATTAAAGAGGTAGTAAAAATAACTATAAGAATAAAGCTATATTATAATTTATCTTCTCTTTTAAAAAAGCTAAGATTACTTATAAGGAAGTAATAAAAGTAAAAGTAAAAAGTATACTCTAGTTATAAATATAATCTAATTATACTTAAAAATACTTAAAGAAATAATAAAATATAAAAAGTAAAATAAAAAAAGTGAGCTAAAGATATAACTTAATTATACTTAAAAAGTACTTAAAGAATTCAGTTAAAGTAAATATTAAGACTGTTATAAGTAAAGTTAGTTTTTTCTAATATAATACTATAATAAAAGTCTTATAATAGTTATAATATAAAGTAGAAAAGATAATAAAAGAAAAAAGTTCTTAAGAAGCTTTAAAATTAAGTAGAAGAGATATAACTACTAGTAAACTAAGCTAGTCCTAGGTTTACTATATAACTCTAGCCTTATAGCTTTATAATATCAGCTTCGCCTACGTAACTAGCCTATCGTGATTAGTCTATTATACTCTTACCTTAAATAGTAAATGTAAGAACTATCCCTGAGAAAAGGATTATTCTAAGATAGTCCGAGGAACATTTATAAAAGAAAACGCTTTTCAAAGAAAAATCTATCTATAGATAATCCTAGGACTGTTCTCTACCTCTGCCTTTGTCTCTAAGGTAGGAATGCGGAGCCCCTAAACCGATAGCTTTGCACCGTGTAACAACTCAAGTACACGGAGAGAATCGGGCTCAGTGCCGGACGGAAAACACGCACAGCCTTCATGGCACACTAACGGAATGAACTGCTTCGGGGAGTTTGCTTCGGGAAGTCCATGAGATGGCCGATGAGGAGGTAGGCCAACTGCTCAACCACAAGGTGAGGTTGTGTCAATGTCGATATATGTGCTTATTTAGCTATATGGAAATGGGCCGCGGCGTCGACTCGCAAATTTATATTAAATTCCAGCCCAGCCTAACCCAGCCCAGCCCAGCCCCAGCGCGGCTCGCCGAAGTCAAGCCACTCCCGGGTCAGGGGCTAGCCAGCTGCCTGGCAAGCAGCAAGAACATCGGAATGCTTACGAAGTTATACTCTGCCGACCAAACACTGTACGAAGTACTGTACTGTACTGTACTGTAGAATAAACACGACAGACATAATCGAATCGAATCGACCCGAACAAACGACTGGGAGAGGGTTCTCGAATCAATTACTTATAAAGAGGTATTAACCTTTTCTTTTCTTTTCTTTTCTTTTCTTTTCTTTTCTTTTCTTTTCTTTTCTTTTCTTTTCTTTTCTTTTCTTTCCTTTCCTTTCTTTGCTCTGCTGTGCTACGTGTCCTCTTGAGCGTCGATGTCGATCGATAGTGACAGACAGACAGACAGACAGGGGCTGTTCCTCCTGGCACGCAGGCCGGGTGGTGGTCTGTTCGTGTTGGAATGGATCTTCCTGCAGTGCTAACACCTACCCACTGGCGGCCCGCCCAGAAGCAACATGGAGCGCAGGCGGTCCCAATCCAATCTTACCTAGAGTAGGTCCGAGGTCCTGTACCTAAATCTACTGTAAATTTACCTTGACCTTCCATTGACCCTTGGCCTCGGGACTAAAGGTGGACTCCAGACTAGCAGGGCCGGGCGGGCGTGGCGTGGAGTCTTGCGCGCACAGGGGCAGTGCGCAGAGCCATGCTGCTGGCCCGCCCCCGGACATTCCATGCCTTTCCTGCCGTTCAACCTACAACCTACAACCCACAACCTTTCTTCACAGTCTCATCAAGAAGTTGGATCCCCACTCAGTCTTGTGAAAGAAAAATCGGTCGTATCGACATTCGGGGACTTTCAATTTGATTCGCCGACATAATTTACAAGCCCGCGTTGAATCCCTCTGAAAGGAGTGGTCGATAATGTCCGCTGCATTGAGCTCGGTAAGTAGTGGCATTCGACCCCCTGTCTGAAGCTCCGCGCACCCATTTCGACCACCGAACGCGGTGAAGCAATGAAAGTTAAGGGGCAACTTTGACTGTATAGACGACTGAGCCCAGAGACTGACCGAGAGTGATGTGGGCTAGATTCGAAATCGTCGGAAGAAGACTGCGAAGAAGGGGTATACAATCCCCAGTTCCTGTAACTGGATGCCAATTTTGACCCTTGACCAGCGTCCAGTTTTGTTTGATGGTATGCGGAGGAAGCGGAACTGGTTTTGACTACTCATCACCCGGGGTCCCATATCAGACAGCTAATAGTCTCCGAAGGTAAAACGACATTTGTAAACACTCTGTGTGGGAGAAAGATCCTGGAGAGCAAAGACTGTGACGATGCGTCGAATGCACATCTGGAAGAGAGGGTGAGCATCAATCCGGTCACAGTTGGTATGTTGACACTTTTGCCCACCGAGAATGGACAGCGGTATCTTTCTGACACTTTCCATAGAATTAGAGATGGAGGAGGAGGGTACACGCATTGCACTTACCGTTGTTAACACACCCGGTTTCGGGGATCAGATTGACAACGAGGCGGGGTGAGTTATGATGCGAGAAAGCCTCGTGATCTCAAGCAACTGATGATTCCTAGCTTCGGAGAGATAATCAGCTATATCGAGAGGCAGTATGACGAGATCTTGGCAGTGGATTGTCGGATCAAGCGCAAACCACGCTTCCACGATACCCGCGTACATGCCCTTCTCTATTTCATCACACCAACTGGCCATGGGTTTGTGACTTCAATCTAACATCAATCTTCTGTTCGCGGAAGCTTACACGTGACAGACTTCGAGAACTTGACATCGAGCTCATGAGACGACTCTCACCTCGCGTGAACGTCATCCCTGTGATCGGAAAGGCCGACTCTCTCACCCCGTTTGAACTAGCAGCTTCGAAGAAACTAGTCATGGAAGACATCCAGCACTATCAGATACCAATCTATGACTTTCCTTACAATGATGAGGAAGATGACGAAGACACGATCGAAGAAAACGCCGAGTTACGTGGACTCATGCCTTTCGCAATCGTAGGTTCCGAGGATGTCGTTGAAGTATCTGGTCAGAAAATCAGAGCGAGGAGGTACCCCTGGGGGATTGTCGAAGTCGATAATCCGAAACACTCGGATTTCCTGGCTGTCAGAAGTGTACTCTTGCAAAGTCATCTTGCGGATCTGAAGCAGATTACACAAGACTTACTCTATGAAAATTACCGCACAGAGAAGCTCAGCAAGAGCGTCGAGGGAGGGGCCGAGGCGTAAGTGATCTTAGTTCCTTGGACGGATTGAAGCAGGAGCTAATGAGCACCACAGTGACTATTCCATGAACCCTGAGGATTTGGCCTCTCAGTCTGGCCGTATGACAGAGGAGCGCTTGACTCGTGAGCAAGATAAGCTCAAGGAGATTGAGCTGAGAATGCAGAAAGCTATCAACGAAAAGAGGCAACAGCTTCTCGTTCGCGAGAACGAACTAAAGGAGTTGGAAGCGAAGATGTATCGCGACCATCCGGAGCAGCTTGAACTTTCAACTTCAACCATTCAGGTGGGGTCTTGATTGCAAGTCTGTATGCCCTCGCACATTGTCTCTTGGCATTCGAAATTCTTGTATCATTATACATTAGCACTTATTAATACCCGCTGCAAGAAGACTTGGTAATGGAAAATGTTCGATATGGAATGGCGAAGTTTGTGATGAGGGACTTTCCCAATGATGCATCACATCACATACACGGCAAGATTTGGCTGACACGGGTACCTAAGAGCCATTTGAAATACTTGAGAGTCACCAATTCCGAGGAGTGCACGCCGGCAATGAGATCAGCGCACCCGTCCAAGTTTGCTACACAATTGTTTCTTAAATGCACAGCAGTCCGCTGTGCCGACCGTCAGATCCAGGCACGCCTTAACTTAATAAAACCTTCTCATGCGTTTTACTTCATACCTGGAGCATCTTTACATACATTAAAATTCGAAGCCTGCTCCGCCGACAAAGTCGGATCCATACCAACCACGGCCCCATTCTGGAGATTGTCAAGGTTGATACGTGGGCCGCTAAAGTTTTTCTTCCCATCCACGAACCATTGGACGATGGATATCACGAGAATGATGGAGAAGACGACACCACAGTAGTCTATAGGTCGTTAGACGACAGCTGCCCAGATGACGAGCGCGAATCTAGAGTAGGGAGCTAGGATTCTGGTAGGCCGCTTACTCATGTTGGTTCCTGTGACAGGAAGTTCCGGAGGGAATAGGAAGAGGATCGTCGTGATAATCACGTAACCAATACCAATCTCAAATACTTTGTCAGCCCATTATTCACCCTGAAGGTGCTTCGAGTCATACCAAATTTGCAGTCCAACCAACGAGAGCTGACAACTTAAAAGGCCTTGTGTCGGGAAGCATCTTCCGTCCACGAATGCAGTTGATAGCGATCGGTATACCGTAAGAGACTCCAAGCGCGACTACTGAGGCTGAGATGATGGCGTTGAATGCACTGTTGACTAGTCAGAGTCGAAGCTCGCTAGCGATTAGGGATGAACCACCTGCTGGACCCGAGGAAGATGCAGCCAAATAACAACACCAGTACGACATTGAGGAAGAGAGCATTGAGAGGCAGCCCAAGCTTAGGATGTACCTAGTTGGATTAGTTTGGAACCGACTCGAGGGGACTGACATCATGCCTTTGCAAATACACGGGATATGGGAAGGCCTCCATCTCTAGAATTTCGGGTCAGCGTCCACAACAGAATGTTTCATGGGTCGCGTTCTACCTGGCAAATGCATATGTCATTCGGCTCGAAGTAGTCATAATACTTGTTGTAGCAAAAAGCAGACATACGAGGGGAAATCTGGGCTGTCAGAAATAACCACATGTCTGGGAGCCAGAAGATACTCACATGAGGAGACAAATTGCTCCGGCCTTGTTTCTAGTCGCATTATAGAATATCTGCAGCAACGGCCCTGCAGATGACTCAATGACACCATCAGGGCCATCGATCTTGCCAGCCACGAAAAGTAATACTATCAAAAATATGAAGCCAGTGAAAACCCCAATCAGGACACATATAAACATGATCCGTGGTCCAACAACTGCTGCGTTAGGAATCTCTTCAATCATGTGCGCTACTGCGTCAAATCCAGTTAATGCAAGGCCTCCCTGCAGTAAGCCCAAGAGCCAGGCAATTCCATCGGGCCATCCCGTTTCATTGATGAATTCGGTGAAGACATAATCTGCAGAAGTATAATCTGGCGAGGCACAAGCAAGAACAGCGATGGAAATGACGACGAATCCAGTAATAGACCAGATGAAAGCCGTTCTCGTGATAATGGGTAATGACCCGGTCAGAAAAGAATTCACGACAAAGGCGAATAAAGTATATCCAATATAAATGAGGAATTGGTGCCATCTGTGAGGAATAAAGTCGGGGTGCATGAGTGATATGACACCGATAATAAGTTGGCTACCCAAAAGACCTCCGGAGCAGATGAGAGCTATCCAGCCACTGACGTTGATCCATCCTGTGATCCAGCGAAGAAGGGGTACCCAGGGCTTCCAACTTATCACCGCAACCCACTGTTTGGACTGATCAGTTCTGTTCATATCAAAGCTTCAATTTGAAGTGAAACACATCCCGAAAACATCCACCTACATGATATTGTCCGCCCGCAGTTGGATATGCGGATAGAAACTCCGCCAGAGATACTGCCAGAGCCAAATTACAGATACCAGCAGCTGCAGAAATGTCAGTGCATGCAAACCGTTAAATTGATTGACATACTGATCAATCCCCAGAGAACGGAGGTCGGCCCTCCACTCGGCAATGCCAAAGACAAGCTCGCAGCAAGTGCAGTCCAGGAGTTGAGAATTGCAAATGCCAGACCCAGCATTGCCAAAGGGGAGAAATTACGGTTTAATTCGCTCTTGTGCCCAAGAGCAGCCAATTGAGCCGCATCAGCATCGGTTTCAGGAGTTGGCGGCATGTTTGCGTTGTCGATCGAGGCGTTGGATCTCCGAGGCAGGTTCCCTGTGAGCGGAGGGCAGGTTCAAGAAGTGAAGTGAATCAAGACACAAGAGCAGATCTCCAAGCAAAGCTTATTCTTCGCTCCGAACTCCATCCACACTAGGTTTCCAAGTGTAGCAGCTTCTGATAACCGCTGATCTGACCTGATCCGACAACTAACCAATGCAAGGACAAGAAGTAGCTTGTGTCCCAGCAGAAGTGCAGAAGTGTCCTACGAGTATGAGACTATGACACCCTCACATCCAAAGGCGTTGTTCTTCATACGTAACGCGGTTTTGACGTCGCCGAGACAATCGTCCCTGTCGTCATCGTACAGTACTGGACAGGTAGGTAGAGTAGGTAGTTTATGTGTCTGCACATGCACATGCCCGTGCCGTGCCCTGCCCATGCGCACTGCCCACCTTTGGGGGCCGATCCTTACGAAGTCACTTCGTTCCTTTGTTACTCAGCTGCACTACTCAGTCTCAGTACTCGTACTAGTAACTGTCCTCTCCTCTCTCCTCTGTGCAGAGTGTGAGAGGTGCCGCCATGCTGAAGCTGGTCAGCCACAACCCCGCATTCTTGGCAGGGACTACTGTACTTAGTTTCCAGGATAAATAAACCCCTACCCTATAACTACTCCACCTACTTTTTACTACTCACGTGAATAATACTACTTTTACCTCCTAAGTAGAATTATTATTTGAATTACTAGTATTTTATATAGCTACCTTATGCTTTAATTATAGCTTTATAACGATCGTGTATAGTCTTAATAAGTTCTTTAACTTACTGATTTATAATTAAATTCTAAGCTTTAATTATAGCTATATAAAAACTATAGGTAAGATCAATAGATATTAGGGTATTTCTCTCAAATATAATCTTTTACCTAATCTTATATAGTCTTAATTAGATTTAAATCCGGTGAGTTTATAAGCTAAAAGATGAGTCGAATTCTAAGCCTCTTTATCTTTATAATTATAGCTTTTATAGCGTGACTAGTAGCGTTATCTTATATTAAAGTAAGTCTATAATAAGAGGTATACTATATAATAAGAGAAATAATATACTAGTAATAAGATTTAGAGGTAATTATACTCTAATCCTCCTCTTAAAATAGACTTAGACCTTTATCTTAGCTAGATATCCTTCCTTAAAATATCTAACTTATCTTTTTCCGTATCTTTAGCTCTAGATAATTAGTATATAAAACTTCTCTAGGTCATCGAGTAACTTTAACTCTCTTATATTTCCTTAGCTCTACTTACGTCTTATTAATCTAAAATATCTATCTCTACTATTCCTAGGTCTAATACTAATACTTATAAGCCTAAGTAAGTCAAGTATCTTATTACTCTTTAGAAAGAGAAAGCTTTAATAAAGTACTTCATCGAATAAAGCTTTTATATTTAAAAGCTATCTTAATAGTATAAACTAAGTAATTCTAGCTTAAGATTTGTAAGATATCTTTCTAAAGCGTTTAATAATTCTACTTTAAAGTGTAAACCTACTTAATTAGCTGTTTTTATTCTTTAGGACTAAAGAAAGAGCGATATCTAGATCTATTCTTTTATAGTATAACTTAGTATATAATTACGTATTAAACTTAACTTAGAGTTAGGTTTAATTATAAGGTAATATTATCTTTAGATTAGCTAGTGTAAAAGTATAAAGTCTATACTTAAAGGTACTAATCCTTAGTATAGTTTTAAGTGAGAGTCTTAGGCGTAAGTACTTTATATTCCGAAGTAGAGAAATCTACTAATAATTAAGATATAATAATTAATAATAATTTAACTATAAACTAAGTAAGAGTAATATAAAGTAGTATAAGAGGCTTATTATATAATTAGAGGAAGAAGGAGGTAAGAGGTACTTATACTAATCCTCCCTTAGAACCCTTTAGAATCACCTTACCTACAGGGTAGAGGTTTATTTATCCCTACCGCAAGTACTATAGTCATAGCCTAGTCTTAATCATCAGCTGACTAGCGGTAGGCTTCCTACCTTAGTAGAATCTGTGAGGCTGGACCCGCGGTCACCTGATAGTTATCTAGTAATTAAAAAAATTTAATAGTTAAAAATTCTTAGTGCCCCTAAAGCGGTTATTTAAATGCGACTATTATTATATTAAACAGTTATTTTAGTTTTAACTAGTAAGAAGTTTATTTATTAAGATAGATTTAATAATTAAGTTAATAGTTATATAAGTACTAATAGATATAATCAATAATAATTAAAAATTATTTAACAGTAATATTATACTAATAGTAGTAACTCTATATCTACTTATAGACTATTAAATCATATATAACACTTAGTTTTTTTAATAGTTTTTAGAATAGTCTTAGATACTATAGTTCTAGTAAGAGCTACTCTAGCTAAAAATCTTATGTTACTAGAAATATAGTTTATAGAATAATACGCTTTAAATTACTATATACTTCTACTTTACTTTTATTATATTATCTACTTTTATTTTATTCTACTACTCTAAAGTGTAAATCTTACTAGCTATTTTATATAAAAGGTTCTCTTTATCTCCTTAAATATCGCGTTTATTATAATTTAATCTTAGAATAGTTACGCCTTAAGCTAGTAAGGTAGTTTAAGAAGGTAATATCGTTTTATAAAAGATAAGTATATGAGGTATAGATTTAGTGCTCTATTAACTATTAATACTTTGAATATATCAGTGGATATAGCTCTAGCTTTATATCTCTTGGATATTACTACTATCGTACGTAACTCGACTAGGAATCGTCGAATATTAAGTGCTTTAAAAAAAGGGTAGAAAATCTATCTATTCTAAAAAGAGAAGCTCTAAGAGTAGCTAGAGATATTCAGAGGTTATTAATATAATTAAGCTGAGTCAGCTGAAGTAACCTACTGTTCTATAACTACTTAAAAGTATCCTCCTTTATTTCTTTCGTATCTTTCTTATTTACTTTTACTTACCTATAACTCTCTTATTATTATTCTTTCTTAAAATATACCTTAATTTAATATCTCAGAAGATTAAGTAGTATAAAAGAAAAAGAGCTACTTAAAATTCTTATACTACTATAGACCTTAAAGTCTATAAAAGGTTAATAATAAAATCCCACCTTATAGTTCACTAAAATGGTGTTTTAGCTTATTAGTCGTAGAACCTACTCTTCTCTTTCTTATATCTTAGCTTTTTACTAACTTAATAAGTAAGCTTATTTCTAAGCCGTCTAATATCTAGTATAATGTTTTAAACTATAGCTCTAATATAGATATAGTCTAAATAGGATATCTTTTAAAGTTAAATAAGAAAAACTCGCTATAAGCGATTTAGCTACTTTAAACTGTTTAAGCTAGAGAAGAGCGAAATTACTTACTAAACTATACTATAACACTCTATAAAGATAAAAAAAACCTACCTTAGTACTATATAAAAGAGGAAAACATATATATAAGATAAAATAAAAGAGAAGCTAAAATTAAAAAAATTACTTTAAAGTTATACGCGGTTTTAGAAAGCCTTACACTATAAAGAGATTAAATCTATAGAAACGTACCTACCTAGTAATAAATCTACGACCTTTATATATATAAAGTAAAAGATTTACTACTTACTAGAGATAAAAATCGTATTATAATAAGAATAAAGGGGAAATTAATAGCGTAATACGATTAATAGTAATAAAAAAGAGAAGGAAAAGAGAGGAAAGTTACTTATATTAGTAAGTATATTCGAGGTTTTATAGTAGTAAAAAAAGTAGAAATACACTTAAAATATATATTAGCTTCTCTTAATATTTCTACGCGCTTCTGCTCTTATATAGAATTATTAGTATAGAGAAGAATAGCTAAAATTAATTAAAATCTTAAAGGGTATACTTTAAGATTAGAAATTTTAGAAATTTCTAATTAAAGAAATATTTTCCTAATATATCTAATATTAACGTATTAGAATAAGAACTAGTAGGATCTTTAGAGAGTACTACTAGGTATACTACTTAGATACTAGATAAGTATAAGTAGGTTTTAATAGGCTTTAGTAGACTTTCCTAGATATTAGGTTTATAAAGTAGATTATATTAAAGATATAAAGGATATAATAAGTAATGCTTTATAGATATAGTTAGAACTGGAAGTATATTATTAGTATTTGTAAAGCTAAATATAATAGAGATACCTAGAAAAAAAATAGCTAAGTATCTTACTTCTATAATAGAGATATATAGCGCTAATAACTCTCTAGATAATATTTATACCTATAGTAAGGTTATAGCCTTATTAAAGTGACTTTAAATCCTTAATATTTATTTAAGGGAAATCTAATAATTTAAAGAATCTTTAATATAGCCTATAGAACCCCTTTAGTCTAGAAATTCCTATATAAATTTCTATGATTTTATTAAGTCTTATATTTACGTAGAGTAAACTTATATTAGCTCTAATAGCTCACTTTATTAGAAACTAGTAGAATAGTATAGAATTCTCTCTAGATATAAATATAGCTTATATAGTATTACTACTCCTATAGTTATAAAGTTTATTAGCCTTAGAATATATCCTTTATATTAGGACGCGTTATACTAATAAATACTAGAATAATCTCTGATAAGATTTAGACTTTAAGACGACAGATATTTAAGTCTACTATTCTAGTAATCTGCAGTTATAGCTATTAATAATAATTATAAGATAGTATAAAGTTAAGTAAGATATTATAATAAAGTTATATAGTACTACTGCCTTAAAGTATACTTAGTAGCATCTATAAATAGCTTCAAATAGAAAAAAACAATTCTACTATTAAAATATAATAAAATTAAGTATCTTTATAGTTTAATGAACTTAAAAGTGTATATTAGTTATAAGATTAAGAGTTTAAGATAATAATAGATAAGGCTATATATTCCTAACGCGTACTTATTCTAGATTCTTAAGCTAGCTTATATACTTGCGAATAACTATACTACTACGTAAGGCTACACTTACTTTTATATTTAATAAAAGGAAATTTATTATACCTTCTAATGAACACGTCTTTAAATTAAACTATATAAATACAATTTCCTAGGGATACTACAGAAATTTTCTGCTCTTATTAGATATAAATATACTATTTACTTTTAATAAATATATAATAACTTTTCAGTTAAACCTCTCCTACTTTCTCTTCTTTTTTATTATTTAAACCTTATTAGTTTTAACTAATAGTAATCCGATTACTTTTTATCTACTAGTTGAGTCTTACTTTAGAATCTAAAGAATATAATCTTAATCCTCTTATAGATTAGCTTTTATAATATATAAGAATATTTTCTTCTTTTTAGCATTAAGTTAATAAATAAATATAATATTAACTTAGACTAACTTAACTTTATAACTAGAAATTCGGATTTAATTCCTACTATAAAAAGTAACTTAATACTTAAAATCCCTAGAAAAGATTAAGTAGGTTTTAATTATATTATATTATAAACTCACTTGTTTATAAATAAAAATCGTTTTGCCTATTATAATAGAATAAATATAAGCCTAATTATATTTACTATTTAATAGTCTCTTTT